GAGGGTGCACTCGATCCCCTTGTCCAGATCATTGATAAAGATATTGAACAAGACCGGCCCCAAAACTGAGCCCTGGGGAACACCGCTCGTGACCGGCCGCCAACTGGATGTAACTCCATTCACCACAACTCTCTGGGCCCGGCCGTCCAGCCAGTTTTCTACCCAGCGCAGAGTCCACCTGTCTAACATCTGGGAATAACCCGGATGGTGGGAAACGGGGCGTCCAGCAGTGACCCTCAGTGCTCCCGCGCCGTTTCGCACGTAAAACACCCTCTGGCTACACCCATAGCTTTAAAGCATCATTGATGCGCAGAAATGATGATGACTTTCCAATCCTCGAGTGATCACACCCTTGCGCATGGTCAGGGCACGCCACAAGGATATCCCCCCGCCCCTCCATCCTTCATTAACAGGGGGAGCTTCGTTAGTTTTGAAGCCTCCACCGAGGTTTTTGAGAGCCCCTCCGGAGGCAGGGGAGAGGACGGAGGTCGTGGTGCTCCGACGCAGCCCACGCTGCCCGACGCAGGGGTCAAAGCAACAAAGTTCAATCAGAATAAAGCAGAGGACGTTGGGTACCGCACGGAAAACTGGATTGTCACCAATTTGCGCGTTTTTCTGCCTTTGCCCATGGCTGGAGGGGGCTGCAGCTCACAGCGGAGAAGGAGGAACTTTCTTTAAACACGTTGCTCCTGCACTGACGATAGAAAGCAGGTCAGGCTGGCAAAGGAGCGGCTCCCGGCTCCCGGCTGGGTGACCTGACGCTCCTCAAATGGGCCTGTCTTCGCGGCACTTAGCGGCGACCGCTTCTCCCCCCGGCCTGTCACAAGCCTTTCAGCCAGTCGCCACGAACTCGGGGCTGACGGGGGGTTAACGGCTGGAGGCCGATGGGGAGGGGGGATCCCGCACCTCCTGGCTGAGCACAGCACCTTCTTTTTCCGTGTCGCGGCTAAAGATGCTCCTCTGCTTCCATGACATATTGGAAAATAGCTTTGATGCTCATCTAAAGAAGGAAGAGCAGCCAACATCAAGATTCTCCCTCCCTGTATCAGCAAGAGGGGACGCAGGGGTCGAAACTTGCTGCCAAAGGGTCCTACGGGGTTAAGGAGGAGGAGAAATAGGGCGGATGAAGGCTCTGAGCAACCCGAGGTGACATGGAGAGGAGCTCTCCTTTGAGCAGGGGTTGGACCAGACGGCCCCCTGCCATCCCTTCCAACCTCTGCTCCATCAGGCTCTGCGCTCTCTCCCTGTCCCTCCCCGGAGAAGGAGGGAACCTCGAGAGCTAACTCGCCTTCAACCCCAGCGAGATGGCTCCCAGCCCGAATCGCTGCCCACCGGCAGGATGTCACGAGAAACTTTTGGCCAGGAGAGACGCTTGGCTGAGCCGGCGGCTTCGGGTTTCGTCGGAGGCGACCGGGCTTCGTTAGCGCCAGAGAAGAAGGAGATGGCTGTGCGGACGGAGAGCTCCTCCGGCAGCGATCGTTCCCTGGAGACGCGGGGCGGAGGAGGTGTGAGCGCTGAATCACGGCAGGATGGTTCGCTGCAAACACACCACCACCACCACCACCGAACTAAGAGGATTTTTGCTGCCTCTGAATCGTGGGATTTTTAGGATTTTTTTTTTTTGCCGATTTTCTAACCCTGTATTATTTAAAGACGGGGGAACTTCCTATTTTTGCTACGGATGGAGATGGATTATAAACTCCCGCTGACGCAAAGAGCAAGATCAGTTCAGCGCTGACACAAAGCCGCGTTTCGGTCGCTTGATGAGGCTGCCCTTTCCTCTGGCCAGAAAGCCACGAACACGACGGGTTGCTCAGCAAGCAGGTGCCTTTTAAGAGAATAAAGGTATTACACGCAAAGGCGAGTTGAGTCAGCCGGAGGCTCCTTACCCCAGAGAAACTGGCACGGAACATCAGCGAGCAACATCTGCTGGGCGGAGAGAAATTACCAATTAAGTGGCAACAGCAGGGGGTTACACAGGTGACAAACCCCTCTGCTGTCACCTTACCCTCGGCACACCCAGGACACGCTGGAGACAGAACGTATCCGCGTGATTTTTCCTTCTGGGTTTTTTCCGAGCAGCTCTTTGAAGACCAGACCTCCTCGGGTTTAGGTACCCGAGTCTCAACCCTGTGAGGGTCCACGCAGCTGCTGCGACAGCCCCCCTAAACCCCGCGCGTCTGCAGGCCCTTTGTGTCGACTTGCTTAGCTTCTTCCAGCCCGTTTATTCAGCACTCTGCAAAGAGATTCACTCCACGAAATCGTTAAGACGCACAATGCGACCAATTACGAGTCAGAAAGAGAACCTGACTTTAAACATAATTTTATTAAGGCTTAAATGTCTATCAGCCAGACGGGAGCTGGTCCAGTCACACGACATAAACCGAGAGTGACGTTCGGTGTAACGCAATGGCTTTTCTACGAGAGTTCGTACGAGCAGGATGAGATCGCTGCCCCTTACTCACGCATTAACCGCGGCCTCTCTTCGTGACTTGCTGGACTCCGGGATGAACGACGTGCTCCTGCAGCACGGCGAGGGCACCGCAGGGAGGAGGGGAGTGAGGCGGGGAAGGGGAGAAGTCAGGTAGCTTGCATGTTGTCAACCACAAGGACTTCGCCTGGTCCACGACCGAATGGCTGCTCGTCAAATACGTAAATGGTTTTAACTCACAGGGAAGCTAAACTCACAGTCCAAAAGGCACCTATGCTAAACCACTGAGCCACTGGGATGGTGGTAAGAGGGCGGGTGCGACAGGTGGAAGTCAGTTCTGTATAAATACATATTCCTTGTTAAAGAAGCTATGGCTTTTATTATCCTCAGATCGCTTTGCTCCGGCGCGATGCTCTAACCCCCCCCACCCCCCACTACTCTGTAAGCACAAGAAGACCAAGTCCTCTCCACCGTCACGGGCGCCCATCCGCCAAGCTCTCCAAAGGCCTTCGTCCTCCTACGGATCAATACAGACACAGGGAACAGCAGCGGCTCCGTGTTCTCGTCCTCCCGGCAGGCTCCGGCAGCCGAGGGCTCAGAAGTGAACCCTCCTGACGTCGTGCGTGGCAGCCGACCTTTTACAACTCCCGCACAGTATCGATGACGGAGACTTCTGCTTCTCGGCCAAGCACGGGCGACACATGAGGTGGCCGCAGGGAAGCTGGTAAACGGGCTCCGTTTTGAAGTAAGAGGAGAAGGTTTTGCCGCAGGAAGCGCATCCTTGGGTCTGGCTGCTCCTGCCGTGCTCTGCAAAGGCGACAGGAGAAGCGGCTCGGTCAGGGGGGGTGACAAGCCCACGCTGTGCCACCCCTTACGTGCCCAATCCTGCCTTCGAGCCGGGGGCCCCGCTTTCTGCAGACGTACGGCACAGCTGTAGGCGCCCACGGCTCAGGACCGTGGCCCGTTCCCTCTATCGCTACCGTAAGGAAAGGGAACGGCCTAGCTTCTGGGGCAGGCTGTGCTCAGAAGGGGCTGGATCACGTCAGCGTTTGCACCATCAGGCTTTTAACTGAGGGCAGGTGACCGTAAAGGGCTTTTCACTTTTACTGAGACTAAATCCGCCTCCCTTCCGCTTTTCCAACGCTCGGATTAAAATCACCGAGTGAAACGCTTTAGGTAGGGCTTCGCATTCCTGTCACACACTACCTATCAAGGGCTACTCAGTCAGCTCTTAAAGAGCAGCAATTTTAAAGGGCACAGCAAAAAGCTTAATAGCTTAATGTCGCTGCGAAACAGCAAAAGCTATTCGGAGAGAGAGACAGCCACTGGGAGCGGCACAGCCCCGGCCCGTTCTCAGGGTCACTCGGTCCCTCTGAACCCTCTTCTCCGCCACGAGCAGGCAGATCCTCGCTCAGGGGAAGAAGAGGAGCGAGCCAGCGGTTCGGGCATCGGCTTGTGGAGGGACGTGTGAAGGTTCAATGCTTCCCTGCACCCTGAAGAGATCATTTTGGGTATGCATGCGCAGCTGGATTAGCACGTCTAACCGCGAGGACTCAACAGCCTGGCCTGCATATATCCAAACCTGATGGGATTCTGGGCACACACTTGGCTGGTTGGCCTGCGACGCTGCTACCGCTACGTGTTCCTGTTAGGGGGTCAGCATGCTACACGGTATTTGCTAGATTTACACCTCCCCAGCTGCATCTCCGCACCAGACCCATTCCCCATCCACGTGGCAACTCCCCGGCTTGCTTCGTGCAGCTAACTGGCAACGTTTAAGCCACCCGGCCCAACTCGCAGAGCTCTGGGAACAGCCAAAGCCTTGAGGCGGGGCGAGCTCTCAGTCTGAACTAAGCTGGTGCAGGCTGGGCTGAGCACTATGTCTCAGCGCAACACATCCAGGATCGTCCTTGGGCAGCGCAGACAAGCGACAGCCAACGACGCGGGCAGACAATCGGACTCATGCTGAAGCCTGCTCTGACTCTGGACGTGGACACCACACCTCACCTTCTGGGGGTCAACAAGGCCTAACCTGCCTCACTGGGAGAACAAACCATTGAAACTGCTGAGATAAAAAAGCAGCAGTTAGGGATTGCCAAGTGAAGCTTGCTGGGAGACAATATGATATTTTTATATTGACTACACAATATTCTGGGGTCCGAAGAGGCACAGAAGGATGCTGAGCAGCAGCACAACCCTCCCTGTTAACCCAGTCCCAGTTCTCCTCTCCTCTCTCGCTCCCAAAGGTGAACCGGAGGCGCTTGCTGCTTACCGAGGACGGTGCCCGCGCTCCACGAGCTGCTGCAGCCTCCCTCGCTCTGCGCCTGCTGCTGGCTTTTCATCAGCTTGGCCGTAAACGAGGGCATTGAGCTGAGCGCCGAGTTCAAGGCAGTGTCCAAACTCTCCGACAGTTTTTGTTCGTGAGAGACCAGATCTGCAAAGAGAAGCACAAGCTCGAGAAGCCGACGCCGGGAAAAAGAAAGCTGTCAATGCGCAACAGAAATGCTGCTTTGCCTCTGAACCTTTGGGACAACACTCGGGATTTTAGGGTCTCTGCCACTTGTTTTCTCGAGAGGTCTCTTTTCCCCACCAAGGTGCCAGGATGGGGATGTAGTGCCTCGTCTCCTTTGGGTCCTAAAGATGGAAAGCCCTACGGATTACTGTCAGACACTCATGTCACGCCCCAGTGCCAACGAACATTCAGGTGCCGGCTTGTATCTGCAGGTCCGAACAAGGCCAAAATGCCAAATAATCCAGAAACTCGTGTCTCTCTGAAACCCCAGGTAGCTCCCTCGGCCCGCTCCACCGAGGGTCCCGGCCCCGTGCTCCCAGGCTTGCTTCGTGCAGCCAACTGGGAACATTTAAGCCGCTAACAAAATCTGGGGGACTCCTTTTTTTTCTCTCTGTCCCAGTTCTGAGACAGAGGACAAAGCCAAAGGCACAGGGTTGGACCCTTCCCCGCAGCGTACTGCAGCGTTTTGCCCTGTGCAATACCGAAGGCGTTAATTAAGACTATGCATTAAGAGAATGGTGTCTGCATCACTAATTCTGTTAAATCCATCTCCCAAAGGAAGACCTCTGAATTAGCGCTGCACATTTGCTACAGCAATCAAGGCTGATGAAACACCGAAGCACGAGCAACCTGGGCCGAGCACTGTGCTTTTATTTATGTACGGGCACGGCCTCCCCGGGAGCTCCAGGACCCCACAGGGCAGTCCCTGCTCCTGTGGGGCTGGGGCACATCCCCAGCGGGAGCTGTTACGCACCTCTGCAGTAAAAGTAACTAATGATTCCTCCTAAACCACGGAATGAGCTCTAGACTGAGAGATCAGAGCAGAGATGTGCAGTCTGACTTCTTCCTCCTCTTCTCCGTACCACCAATCATCAATTATTTTCTACCAAGTCTTTAAAGAATTTGTTTAAAATCGAAGAACCACCTAAGCTTTTTCCTTGAAACATTTCTGGGCAATTTTGGGAGAAAGACAACGCGAGTGACAGGTACCAGCAGGCGTTAACAGCAATCAGAAGCCCTGGGCCACCTTTTGACGCGTTACAGACCACTCGTTTAGAGAACACGAGGAAACTGAACTTACCTGCCTAGAGAGACAGCCCTTAGGTGACCAGAAGACACCCGTGCACCGTGTCTTTATACCGTCCCACTCAGACCAGACTGCTTGCAACAGATGGCCTCAGACACGGCCGCTCTCTTCAAGCTCACCTAAATATGAGATTGCTAAAGACGTCTCTCTCCCTCCTCCCAGCTTAAGTTTACCTTCTTCCTCCAGCGGGATTATTACCTAAAGCAGTAACTCAGTTTCATGATAGAAGATATAAGCGTTGCTGTACGGAGTACAGTTACATCCACGTAACAGTTGCACTGACAGCAACTCCAACACGTTTCAGGAATTCCTGTGCCAACAAGGGAGAAAGCAAACGCGGCAAAATAGATGTGGATTCGGGTGAAAGATCTAGCGTGGAGTCAAGAGGAGCAATTGCCCACGAGCCACGCTCTTCACCACGGACTGGAGGCTGAAGGTACCAGTCATTAGAGAATAAACGACAAGAGGGAACAGATTTTGGGGAGAGAGGCATGGATCTCCTTGCTATTTAAACCACAGACCACCTTTGCTTTCTAAGGACTGTCGCCTCCTCACCAGTCCAGTCTGCCCTGGCACTTGAATGCTGCTGGGTGGGAGCTGCTGGACCTACAAAGAGTATCCTACACTCCCGCGCCCAGTGCTCGGTGGATCCAAAGGTCTGCCTGTGTGGCTGCAACGCTGCCTTGGCTGCCTGGTAAGACGCTGTGGCACGGCTGGGGACCGAGGTGGGTGAGAGCACTCAGCTTTTCAGGGAATTTATGTCCGGGTTGCAGGTCTGGACTGTTTTTCTGCCTCCTGGAGCTTATGTCCAGCGGCGCTGCTACCAGATCTCTGAGAAAAGCAAGGATGAAAGGAAACCAGTGCCCGTTTCCTTCCCCTGTAGACACAAGTCACATCCCTTGTCTACTGTCTCTACTGTTTTCTGCTTTAACTAGCTGCAAACCCTCTGCAAGTCTCTCCCAGCCTGTGCTGTCTTCTCCTCCCTGCTCTGAAGGCAGCACTGCCTGCAATTCCCTTGCTGACGTTTGTTCCAAGCCCTTGCGCTGCTGCACTAAGATTAGTGTGGACCGGAGGCTGTGCAGCGACACGCTCCCCAAGCTCAGCCTCTGCCACAGCAAGAGCAGCCCCGTGAGAAGGTAAGGAGCCAGCCTGTCCCGGGGACACAATCTGTGCGACGACACTGAGGATGCAGGGAACCAGCTGCGCCAAGAGCCCAGGCAGGCAGTGCCCGGCTAGGGAAATCCAGGAGCAGGATTAGTGCCCCGTTCCCGCTTTCCACCCCGCCTCACTCCTTGTGATAAGATCCACACCGGCCAGGACTCCCTGTGCCATCACCACTGCACCACCAGACATTTCTTTTCCTGCCGCTGCGTATTTTCTTGCTGATGCAAGAACGTATTGGATGCCTGGGATAACAAATCGCCCATGATAAAGACACTTCAAACCAGCACACTGTGACAAAAACGTTGTCTCCACAGGGACAGTGGCTTGAAAGCAAGGAGGAGAAAGGAAAAACAAACTAAAAGGGAAACACGGCGACCTGAGCAAACAAGAGGGCTGTGAAACAGACTGCACAGGTTAACACAACAAGAAGGACAAGCCTAGAGGTGAGAAAAGGTGAAGCAGAATGGGAGCAAACACCATCCAGGATGGCAGGTTGTGCTGAGGAGAGGGGAGGTGAATGAGACGATGACCTGACTTCCACATGACATCTATCAACAGCAAAATACAACGGCCTTAAAGCTTTCTAGAGGCGGGATGGGAATCTGTACCGGAGCCTCCCGACTTGAAAACCTGGCCCCGGGCTGTCAAGACATTCAAGAAACACAAGTGACTTAGGGAGCCACGATACCTGTCGAACAGTCCATTTGGATCAAATGCGAGTCACTGTCAGTTTTCATTTTTTTAGCACTGTTCTCTGAGGTAGACGTGACAAGTAAGTTTGTAGAAGAAAAATAGGGCGGCTGCACGGAGCTCTGATCCATACAGTCCATTTTCCTTTTCAGAGAAGACATTGTTACGGAAGAAGGTACGAGCATTTCCGAGGCATGAGCCCTCCCGAGCAGGTTGGTGCCAGGGATGCTGTGCTGTAAGAGAAAGTGGTCTATCCTGGCCTTGAGGGTAGGGTGAGGTAAGGGCTGCGAGTGCTGGCTGAAGGCCACCCCAGTGAAAGGATCGCTGGGTACCCTGCCCCAAGACGCCTCACTCCGGTTGCATTTTTCCAAGGTGGTCTGGTCGATCACCTTCCCGGAGGGCAGGAGCATGGGGAAGGTCATGATCTCCAGAGTGATGGGGTCCAGGAATTCTTCGGGGATGTCTTGGACGACGTCCACCAGCTTGCGGAGGGTCTGCTGCTCGCTGTCGTTGGCGCTGAAGGGCACGCAGTCGCTCTCCATCGGCGTCCAGAGCTCTGGCTTGAGGCTGCCGACGTCCTGGGCGAAGAACTGGGAGGCCACCTGAAAGACACCCTCGATCACCTCCTGCGGGCACGATTTGGCAGGCTGTCCCCACACCTCCAGCCTCTTAATGCAAGGCAGGCTGCCTCCGGCCACGTGGGTGATGCAGATTTTTAAGTGCGACACGTTGCTCAGCGAGGCAGGCCCTTTGTTCCAGAGGTCTTGAGATGCAGAGCCAGGGTAGGAGAAGACATTTTCCATCTGATGGAAGGGAGGCCTCGGCTTGAAGCCTCTGTGGCCGAACGTCACTTTGCTTTGATTTTTTAAGACAGCTTTGCCCACCAGTGTGAAAGTGTCTTTGTCCGACACAGGTTGACCAGCCAGACCTGAGAACTGACCCTCAGGGCTCTGCCAAGAGGTTTTATTGCACGAGGTAGAGGTGTAAACTTCGAGCCCGGAGAAGGTCTGGTATCCCCCGGATGAGATGTCGATATTGATCCTGCAGATCTCAATGTTGAAGGGAAAAGAGATTGTGATGTGGACCGGAGGTTTGATAAAGTATTCGCTGCGGAAACCACGATTTCTCTTGGCAAGGTCTTCGGAGATCAGATTCTCCACTTCGTAACCATCAGCAGAAATCTGTGTTTCAGGAGAAAACTGGATTTAATTTGAAGCAAGAAAATAAAAGGAAACTAATTTCACAAGCACTTATGTAGATTCTCAAGATGACATCAACCGGGAACCAAGGCTGCGGTTTCACGTGCAGCTGACACAACACAGGAGATCCTTGCTGCTGAGGCAGAGCAGACCCAGTCCCACCCTCCTCCAGCCACATGGTCCCATCCACTCTTCTCTGCACCCTCTGTTACCTGGCCAGCCATTTGCAGAGCTGATTTAACCGCTAAAAGAGAGGAAAATTATGGATGGTTTGTGGTTTTGGCTGGGTCAGTGAAGTAAATCAAGTGGGAGAGCGTGGCTGGGAGCAGAGCATGTGTGCGTGCGGGAGGCGGGAGTCTCTTCTCTTTCAACAGCGGTGAAACATTATGTCAGCCTATCCTGCCACGTGGAAACGTACCCGGAATCACCCGGTTACAGGATCCCAGAGAAACCTCCGGAGCTCAGGTAGCCGACTGCCTTCTCCTGCTCTGGGATCAACCCCACCCATCCCTGAGGGAGATCCGTTCAACCAGGCTGGGTCCCACCCCACCTCTGCCAGAAGATGCAGTCCCACCCTCTGGTCTGCTCCTGGACAGGCTGGCTCTACCCGTTCCCTTTCCTGGAAGCTTCAGGGCTTAAAAAGTCTGCATCACTTGCTAAACGAACAGGTAACAGCAAGGAATATCCATTCCACCTGCTTAATATGGTCACTCTACACCCTCCTGATCACAACAATCACACCAAAGCTCAGCAGCGTGGCTGGGTCTCTCAACACACCACCCGGATGGATGGTCACACCCGTACTGCTATTTTAACAGCACCAACGCTTACAAACCCAAGGCTGTCTTGGATTTTGGGGTGTGAGTTGGAGGAGAGACTTACAATTAAAAAATGGCTTTGAATCAAAAACTAGTTAGTATTTAAGAGATACCGATGATGCTGGGTGAAAACTTAAGTACTTGTAGAGTACAGTAACTTCAGCAAACATTGTCAAGAGCTGCATATTCTACTGGACAAAGGGGAAGCTCTAATATTGCACGGAAGAAGGTATCTCAAGTCAAAGCACGCACACCCATAAGCACGTAACATTGTCTTGTTATGAGATCCTGCAAAATCAGGGCTTTTTCATTCCGACAATTCGTGTGTGCCACATTAGAGCAGGCACAGGAGGTTATACAGTGTTGTAACACTACCTAGCAGAGATTGACCAAAGCATAGACAGGACAAACCAAATTTTGAAGAGTAGCTTCTGGGAAATCTCTCAAAACCGGTTTTTCGAAGTCCTGAGCCTTCAGCTCCGCTTTATCTTCACGTGAGCTGCAGATCCCAAGCACCCAGCCATGGGTTCTCTTAGTGCTCGCACATCATTGACTCCCTCAAGACTGAAGCACAAAGGGGGAAGGGGATCCAGGAGGACAGATTCCCAACATCAGTTCACAAAACCTCCTTGCTGGGAATGACAGGAGGCTGGCGAGCTTGGAAAAGAAAGCCATGAGCAAAACCACCCAAATCACAATCCTCCCGCATCACTGGAAAACGATTTTAATTGGCAAAAACGCTCTCAGCTCTGCAGACTAAAGAGCCTACACCTTACCTAGGTTGGGACTGCATCTGTCCTCAATGCTTCTGTTGCCAGTGGACATACGCAGCCTCCCATGTTAAAACCCCTCGCTGAACCAGCCAGACCACACAAAATGACGGGAGTTTGCTGTGAGTCGCCTTTGTTTTCTCAGGGTAGCCTGGCATGGCCAGCCAAAAATCAGTCTTCGAGAAATGCTCCTAATTATCACAGACGAGCAGCGAACAAGCCCTCCCCAGCCCCAACCAGTCCAGCATGCCACTTCCACCTAACCCCTCCATCCCCTCCATCTCCCTAAAAGCCCACACATCGTTATTTTACCTTGTTGCAGTGAATTCTTGGCTTGAACTGTGGGAGACAGACGTTTATTACCATCTTGGCAGTTGGAGAGAGCTCACTTTCTGAGCATCAGATTCAGCTTGTAAAAAAAAAAAAAAGAAAAAGGCAAAACAAAGAAAGTGAACATCAGTGAACAGTGAAAGGATCTCGTGTTTCGGAGCCTGTATGAATTACAAGCTCAGTAGTTCCTAAAATGCAGCTCAGGTCTGAGTCCAGGAGGTGAAGCCAATATAAACCCAAATGACTGTGGTGGAGAGACGGGATCGAGAGAAAAAACTGCGTTTATATTAATTAGTGAACCCCTGGAGAAACATCAAAGAGAAAATGGCTATTTTAACTAAAAACGTCTTACCTATGGATAGACTAGCAATTAGATCTGAAAGTTTATCAAAGATGCAGGAGGTTTTGTAGATACAGTAAAGCATCAGAATATCACATGAGGTTGTCCAAGGAATCGGTGTGAGCTCTCGGCAGCCTCAGTCGGACCTGGAGGACACGGGCTGCTCTGGGATCTGAGCGGGGCATTCAGCACCGCAGCCCCTCACCGCTGCGAGGCGGAAAGAGCCTGTGTCCATTCCCACAGCGTGGCCTTGAACTTTGCGTTTTGCCTCCGGGCCCGGTTCCGCCCCCCCCCCCCCCCCCTCGCCTTCCACCCCCCCCCCCCCCCCCCCCCCCCAGCATGCCATGTCTATCTGCCGCCTTCAGCAGATGGAGGCAGGACCTGCCTGCGCTCTTGGACAACACCCAACACGACAAGCTCGGACGGGGCCTCTCGGGACGAGGGTAACACCAACCAGCACTAACACAGCGCTGCCGCAAAGAGAAATGTTTCCTCGAGGGCTTTGGGAGCCTCAGATGTAAGCTAAGATTAAACACACATATTAATAATTGGTATTTAATAGCCCCAAGGGAGCAGAGGGCATTTAATAGCTCTAAGGGAGCCTGTCTGTGTTCTGAACGCCGACCCAGCTGATTCTTCCGACAATGCCCATTAAAGAAACGCAAGTGAATGCACCATCTTTTCCACTGAAAAAAACGTGACTCGAATTGGTTGTATCAGATCCCTTTTAAGAATGAAATTATCTGCGAGGTAAGAGTTTTAACCTTACATTAACCTTAGTTTTAGTATGTCACTGCCTTGGGCAACCTTGCAAATCAGGAACCCACTGCTTCCTTCAAGAACGAGCAGCCCTTTAATGATTTTGAACTGAAGCTGTTAGTTCAGTCAAAATGAAATTGGCCTTCTGGGGGCACGTCGGTCCGGCCGCTGGAACACAGAGCGTTAACGAGCTCGCTTTGCTTGCCCGCTAAGCGTGCGGGAGCAGTCCAGTCTGCGTGCGATCGAGCGCAACAGTCTGAAACGAGAAATGTGGCATCCGAGGTACAAATCCAACATATAAAAATCAACACGACAGAAGCCAAGCCTGCAGAGAGCAGAGCTTGAAGGTCGCAATGCCAATGCTTGACCGAAGCAGGCGTGAACCTAAGAAGAGCCGTAGTGGGCCAGACGAGCACCCCTTCTAGCCCAATATTTGGTCTGACAGCCATCGGGAGCAATTCCTGCTCCTCAACAGGGAAACCAGGAACGGGGCAGGCACAAATGAACGCTCCTCCGATATTACTCTCCTGGCCCTCTGAGCCTGACAGGCTTCCAGTACAGGGCTGCCAGTCAGGAATTGTTCAAATAGGCTTCTGAACTGGTCTGACTTTTGGCACCCACACCTTGTGGGAGTAAGACTGCCGGTTTAACTACAGGCTGTGTGACAAAGCTACAGCTTTTGGTTCATTTTGAACCTGCTGCCTGGTAAATTAGCTTGGCCCTCCTATTGCTGGTATGACGAAAAATGGCAAATCAACTCTCTTCGATCCCTTTCTTGGAATGACTCAAGATTTGCTCTCTCTTCTGTTTCTCCTCACAGCTCTTTTTTCCTGGGCTGGAGACTTCTCCATATCCCTTCCAACCTGACCAGACCGGTGAATTTGCGTTCGGCAAGTCTTGGTGAGACCTTCCCTGAATGAAGGTGAGCGATGAGAGGCACCTTCACCTCTGCATCCCTGCGAACTCATCCCTTTAAGAACTCGCTTCTCACGAGCCACTGCCTACTGAGATCCTGCCTACGGCGGATGCCAAATTCCCCCGTGGACCTTGTGGTCAGGCAACCTCCTCTTTCGCAGTGCTGCCTCACGCCAGGCAAATCACGGATGGGTGCAAGTCATTCCTCAGGACAGACTCACGTCTTCTTCCAAGCCTAAGGCTGTTGCGGAGGTTGCATCCTAAATCTATCCTTTTCCGCCGTACTCTTAATATTCTGTGGCAATTAGCTCTGCTTAATTACAAACAATTTATTCTCTCATTAAACTTGCTGTCTTTCAATTCAGCTGCTCCTTGCTCTGCAGCGTGAGGAGCTATGTATGTATACGCAGGTATATCTTACAGGATTCTCTCCTACCTGTTTGTGACCCTGACAGACTTAAACAACTCAGACTGATTTTTCCAGGTTCAACATCTCAGTAGGAAAACATGCATTATTCTGCATGTCCAAGTCACTGCTCTCCCTTCTTCCAAAAAGCCCTGTTACGCTCTTGCTTCACAGCAAAAGTTGGTCACCGAGTTGCTTGTAGCCAGGGCTGTGTTTTTTTTACTCTTCCCATGAAAACACACCTCAGAAGCCAGACAGTGGGGATGAAGGGACAGATTGAATGGAATGAGATTAGGACTAAGCTTCCATGTAAAGAAGGAAAGAACTGGCTGGACACGCTGCAGTAGGAAGGTAAAGGGCCTGGCTGAGGCCAGAGAAGCAGGCTGGGAACAAGAATCAGCAGGGACAGGCAAAAGCAGGTGAGAGAAGAGATCAGAGCAGTCGGGATCAGATGGGGACGGTGAGCCCAGGGCCCCGCTGGCAAAGAGCCTGGGCTGAAGCAAGAGCTGGGCAAATGCAGACTGTAAAAAGCTCTGCAAAAAGAATGGGACAGGGCAGTGGATGTGGCTTCCCATGGCTACTGCTGCCATTACATCCCAAACTCCTGTGGAGGACGTCTGTGCTAGCGACAACTCAGGCGGTTGCGGCATGAAGGAGGTTCTGAATTTATGAACACTTTAAAACTACCACACCCATAAAACTGCATTACTAAAGTCATTACTTGTCAAAACAACTGACTCAAAAGATCACAAAGGACTCAAAGACTATGAAGTGCCATCAGGATGTCACACAACTGTCCCATCTCTCTTGGGTGCGTGCCTTCCCTGAGGTGAATGAAGATCTTTCGACTGAGGCAGTGAGACGCAGACCTGAAGGACTGTACTCTGTACTTTTCTATGCCAGCAAGATCCTCTGTGGTCTTGGACAAGTCATTTCAAACCAGGCTTTCTGGAGCTAGTCACTAAGTGCCTTCCTGGTGTCCTACGTACGACTAGGGAGCTGCTGCGATAAGGAAATGTGCACAGTGGACATTGAACTGAGGTGCTCCATAACGCTGAGTATTGGAGGGAGAGGAAAAAAACAGCCCGGACATTTTAAACCAGGCAGCCAAAATGAGCTAATACACAGTATCTGTCCTGGGACAGCGACCTGCTTACTGCCACCTCTCTTCCCCATCCTCCACCTCAGTACGTCTTGAAACGCCGCACTGCAAAATAGCCAGAACAGCTCGGCTGCCTTGGCAGTGGGAATGGGAGCTTCACCTGCTGCTCCACATGAAATAATCCCTACAGCTCCGGTCAGGTGCAGAGCCTGCCCTGTGCACCTCAGGAAACGTCACTCCTCTTGGAGAGAAACACCACGTGAAAGCTCAGGAAGAAGCCAGCAACTCTGTCTTCAGAACGGCGTGCAGAAATCGGACACCGGGCCCCATCCTGAGCAAGAAAATAACACAATGAGCCACGTGACGGAGAGTGAAACCAGCTGCCTCTGGAGCAGATGCTCCACACAGCTAGAGTTTGCACTCTAGTTTGCACAGGACTCATCGTCACCCAGGCAGTGGAATCGCCTCAAGGTGGATCTGTGGGCCCCATTTGGCGGCAGATGTTATCAACAGGGTCAACGGGACGCAAATCCTCTCTGCTAGGCATCTCATCATCAGAGAGCTGAGCAAGAAATTAATGTCTCGGGGTCAGAGCACCCCAACCCTCAGCCCCAGCTTCCACCTCGCCGCTCAGCTTTCACACCCTGTCCTGCTCACGCACAGCTCCTAAAGGAGAAACTCTGACTGCGTGCCCACCAGCCCCAGCTCGATGGTGATGGGGACAGCAAGGAAATACGTATGTGTGTTCCTGGCACCCAGGTCAGCTTCATGGCTAAAAGTCACCCCAATTCTCTCCCAAATATCACGACAGCATTGCCACTGTTCTGCTCTCAGCAAGTCACCAAATCTATCCACTTTCATTTAGGGCGGAGAAAAAAGTAATCATGGAGAAAAATGAATAGGACAGTAGTTTTTATTTGTCGTGGAAGCATTTGAGGATCTAGGTACAAAAAGAGTGCACGGGACACATGACTGCCAGCAAAGCAGAATTGGCTAACTTAGCAAGGCAGCCCGAGCACACAAAGCACCTGCCAAAAACTTAACCAACACTCAGAGACCATTTTAATCAGCGATCAGAAAGAGAGATGCATCTGGGAGGCTGTGTCAGCCTCTGAGCAAGCAGTACACCAGACTAGCCAGCCCTGCTAAGCAGCGCTGGGTTGAACACTTTGTAATGGAGGTAGCTCAGTTTCTCCGAACGCGTGCGTTTGAGCAGAGGAAACCATTCCCAGAAGGGAAGCTCAACCACCACATACCCCAGCTGCTGCAGCTGCCGCCGTTTCAAACAGTGCAGCCCCAAAAGCCGCTTGGAGCAGTAGCAGTAGTGGTTTCGGTTGGACACCTGAATAGCCAGTTTCACCCCCCGAGGCTGCCGATTCAGTGTAAGAGGCGGAGGGGCTTCAAGACCGTGCCCCGACTTAGGCTCAACTTGCAATCTGGCACCTGCAGTAAGAGCTCCACCTGAAAGCGCAGCACGATCCCCCGCGCGTGGTGTTCGTGCTTCCTCCCCTCTCTCCTGTCCGGGAGTCCTGGCTTCATTTTTCACTTCCACGGGAAACTGGCTATTAGATCTCCCTTTTATAAGCTGA